TCCAAAATTAGAGAATTGAAGATATCAACATGAAATGAACAAACCTAAGTAAGAGAGGTCTACCCAAGGTACATATACACCAAGTATCAAAGCATTCAGGCTTGTAGTTTTCAAGAAGAAGTCGAAAAAGTAAAACATTGACAAGGACGACGACGACGGACAATCACTCATATGATAAGCTCCACTCGACAAAGTCGACAGCGGAGCTAAAAAAAACACGCTTTCACGCAAAAACCCCGAAACCCACACAGAGCTACGACAAAGTATCTCGGATGCCGGTTCTATGCTGGTAAATTCTGAATATAACTACTGCACGGTCTACTCGAAACATGAGGAGACCGGAAAGAAAACGGCAGCAAGCCCTGGTGCTGTCATTACATCTATATATTGCTAAATACATTGAAAATAAAAGACGACATGCATGAGGGAAACGAATTACAGTTGTAAAAGGAGCCGCCATGAAAACCAACTGGTTACGTAGTGGCGCCGGATTTTAATTTCTTTGTTGTGAAAAATACTACACACAAAGGGGAAAACGACACGAGAGTAAAAATGACAAGGAAAACTTATCCTACCAGCTACAATGTCGAATGCCATGCAGCGGCAACAACCCAAGCTATAAATCCGGACAGGAAAAAAAAGCAGGCGATCCAGCAGAGCTCGCTAGATTTCATCTCCACTCGAGGCGGAGAGAAAATCAGAGTAATGGACGGCTACCTATGGCGCTGCCAGGTGGCCTCGGTCACGTGGGTTCGTGACGTAAGGGGTAAAAGAATCTTGACCTGGATTCTATCTCTCCGTCACCGGCAGAATTGCTGATTAATGCCTACAGTTCAAAATAGTCATTTTGACTGACCGGAGTCTATGGTGGGTTAATTGAATGTAGTGAATTCTCTGATTCTGCTTATACTAGTTCATGCGAGTTTTTCTGCAGACCATACAAAGTAGGAATGCAACTTTAAAATATATTTATACAGTTTATAACAGTTTTATGTCGGAGAAAAAAACATTGTAGCCATACCTAGAGTTGATTTCCACGCCACAGCTAAGCAGTAGTTGAATAATGTTGACATAGCCACCAGATGCAGCCAAGCTAAGTGGTGTATAGTCAGACACATTACGATGTTCCTTATTGGCTCCTACACTCAGAAGTAACTCCACAACCTGTATGGAAAGTCAGTAAAGTTAGTTTCCGGCTTTGTCCCTTTTTTTTAGTTAGATTTCTATTGTATTGGAGATTCTATTATTTACTGGAAATAAACTGAGTTATTAAAATATAGACTGCAAGTTTTTTGATTTTTTTTAATTGATTGATCATAAAACTGACCTCATAACGGCCTCCAGAACAAGCTAATGATAATGGTGTGTCTTTAGTTCTTTCAGATTGAGCTTCTTTATCAGCATTATGCCTGAGTAAGATATCACACACTCCAACATGCCCAGCAGTAGCTGCCAGAATTAACGGAGTAAAACCTGAAAGATATAAAGATGATGCATTAGACAAGGCTGATAGTGTAAACGACGACAGGATTACATTACTTCTTATTACATACTTCTTGAGCATGACATTCAGATTTACACACCACACAAGTACACATACTAATGTCTATCGGCCATTTCCCAATTTTTACCCTAGATGTATAAGCCAATGTGTCAATGTTCAAAGCTTTGTAATGTGTTCCTAATGTGTTACTAGTTAGTTCTGCTTGCAATTTGGTGAACTGATGTATGACAGAGGAAGTTCTATTTACTTTTAATTGTAATCTGCGTTTATCCATCATCTTTAACTACACCTGACCCAAAAACTACTACACACAATTTGTTCATCACAAATGATGAATCTTACCTTTTTTATCTCTGTGTTCTATATAGGCTCCTTTTCTCAGCAACAAAGTCACCAGCTCTTCATGTCCACCAGCACATGCTAACGTCAACGCAGTATCATGGTTGCTCTCCGTCTGCGCGTCTATTTCCACGGCCGAAAACATAGCAGGTGACACATTGCCAGATACTTGTGGCGAGATGTGTGGTGAGCCATTGGACGAAACAGGAGATGTATTTGGAGTAAGTGGAACTGTTGGTGATAGTACACTTGCACTGGGTGTATTGGGAGGTGTTGACCTGTCAAATGGTAGTGGTATACAGACTGGAATAGGTGGTGATACTGCTGCTGCTGGGTTTTCAATTACTGTGAAAATGGAAAGAAATATATATTGTCTTTAAACGCTTGTATCAGTTGGAAGCTATGAAGGCCAAAAAAAACTTGTGTTGCCCCAAGTCGAAAAATAGGGTCAGTCGGTCTGATTTTTTTTTTTTTTTTTTAAACTCGTGAAAACTAAGGGTATCGTAAATAGCCGAGGTATATGGGAATCAATCAAACACATGCTAGATATTAAACACAAAAATCAAAGTGTTTTTTTCAGTCTTTTGTATTTAAATGCAGATCACCCCGAGGTTCAAAGTCTCCACTTATCCCTCCCGGGGACCCTGGAGATCAAACAATAGTCCGGGGTCGTTAATTTTTAGAGGAAACACTTTTTTACTGCTTAAAATGACGAGTTTAAAACGATATATCATATTTTTTGATCAACAATTTTTTTTTGGCCTAATTATGTGCAATGAGTAGTCATAATTCCTTTTTCTGCGATTAAATATTACATGTATTTTTATTTATCGCTGCTAGTCTGGATAATGTGTGCTAGACTTATCCATATACATTTTCCCCACAACATTCTGAACTTGTGTGATACAAGATGCATGCCACACTCTGGCATTATTTCATCCGCACACTTTAGGGGGAATCAATAGAATTTGTCAGCAACTTGCTGATCCGAGATTAGAGTCATGTAAAATCATGATTTAGAAAATATTTTCAAATGCAAGCTGCCAAGAGTGGTGTGACAGGAATTCAACCTGCATGTAAAACACATTGAGATACCTATTTGCAAATATTTTATTTTTGTGCAAGGTTTTAAAGGGTAAAATTGGCTTAGAATACAAGAATAATAGAAAGATTATCTGGATATGTTGAAGTACACTGATGTTAACACGGAAGGGCAATTAGGAAATGTTATGCCTCCATGAATTTCAAACAAAGCTTTGGTAATTGGTAATACGGTGAGAATACACATACCTGGTTGTGGTGTAACTTGGTGTGCTTCTTGACTTGTTTGAACACAGCTTGCTACCACAGTACCATCACCAAGAAACATAGTCTGTGTGCCACTAGACATGGTTAACGTTGTAGTTGGTGTTGTCATAACTAATGACCCAGACAACATCATAATATTCTCATCAGTTGAAGCCTCACTTGTGCTTGTGCCTTTATTTTCCAAACTTGAAGAACTGTCAGGAGTGGGTATTGTTTCGGGCTCAATCAATTGGTCCATGCTGACCTCTTCATCTTCTGCATCTTTCTCTAAAATTTTGGGTTGAGCTTTCATATTATAAAGGCGCTTTTTGGTTTTCTTCTGAGTACGCGCTCGTTCTTGTAATTGTTTTTCTACTCGCTGTAACTCTTCTAGAATTTCCTGCTTCTTCTGGATTTGCTTTTTGAGCTCTCGATTATAATTCAATTCTTTATTCAGCTCTGCTTGTGCCTCTTCTGGGTTAGGGAGGGAGTTTTCTGGATTTTCTTGGTCTTCACTACCACCAGCACGATCATTGTCGCCTCCATCATCATCATCATTCTCTTCATTGGAAGTTTGCGATAATGCTAGTAAATTTTGTAGATTTTCATGGGAAGGAAGAAACTGACTTGACGGGCATGCCCTGTCGGGATTTGGTTCGGGGCATGCCCTTTCTGCCCTGTCTGGATTTTGTGCTGGACATGCCCTCTCAGAATTCAGTGGTTGACATGGCCTATCAGAATTTGAAGATGGACATGCCCTCTCAGAATTCAATGGCCCAGAAGAACCTAGGATAGAGAGGAAATTAATTAGTAGTGATGGAATTTATGCAAATCATCAGCAAATTCATAAATTCTTTAAAAATATCTAAAACAGAAAGTATCAATAATGAGTTGAGACAAACTTTTACTTATAGCAATATTATTTACTGACCCACATTTCAGGAAAATTGTGTAATTTGGTTGAGTGTAGAAAATTAAATTTTCTATGCATTGTGATAAAAGATACAAGTTTCAACTTAAAATACTGGTATCTTAGAACATGCTTTATACACAAGTTCTTCGCAAATACATACCGCATCTCTAATAAAATCGCACATAAATCAAATAGTGCATGACACTATTTTTCAAACATTTTGAACTTTCCAGAGGCCTAAATAAGAATCTAATTTAGGTTTTTTGGAGTTACTGAAGACAATTCAAGAGTGAGGTCGTTGAACTGTCATTAACATATTCAAATGAGGTATGTAATTAAATCATTCTGATTGGTTAGTGACTTGACCTATCAGGTCAAAGATTCAGGTTCAGGTTGTATGGAATAAAATGGCAGATATCATAACACATCGAGCATTTGCATACAACAGAAAATATTCACTTACGATTAAACTAAGTTAAACCAAATTAAAGCCTGTCACTCTTTCCTGACGCCTAAATTAGAGATTTAACGAACGCTGAGCCATTGAAATATAGCTAATTTTGACCATAGACACACCTCTGTCATTTACGCAAATATAGCAAATACTGTAGGGCTCAATTTTGGCTAATTCTGGAGAATGGTAGCATGACAATAACAATGAATTTCATGCATATGCTATCAAGCAAACACTTACTATTTTTGCAATTCATTAGATTAGCCTGGTTGAGCAAAGACGACTCGTTTTCTACCATATCAGATGGACCTTTATCGGGTTCCTGAGGTGGAACAACTGTTGGTAGAGCTTGAGTCGGAACACGGGGAATCTGAGTGGAAACAATTATAAATAGATTTGTGTTTGTTTTTGTGCAGAAATAAAGTTTACTAACAACTGAAGTTCGTGCACTTTGATGTAATTTTGCCAACTCACAAGTATGTACAAATCTGACACAAAAAAAAGTGCATGACTGATAACTAGCTTGTGATCTACCATGACAACATTGACAGCAAATTATTTTACTTACTTCTCCGTGTTCATTGATTGGCATAGAGCAATCCATGGGGACTGTTGATGGTAACATATTAGATGGGTACTCTAATAACAGTGATATTACTGCAGTATGGCCACCTTTAGAAGCTTCAATCAAGCAGGTAGACCCATCCTAATAATAAAACATTTGGTACTATTACTTGCTAGAAAATGTAGAGGACTTGAAAGCTAATTATTATTAACTTTATATAAAGGCATAGTTTGTTTTCTACAAAGTCAAAGCAAGCAAGTACTGTAAAATCTGTATTAGAAGTTGTGACTTCTATTAAAATGATACAATGCAACAGATAGAATGCGGCTTCTATTACAGCATCATCTACACATATGAGAAACAATGAAATTTTGGTTCTCAATTGTTTAAAAGGACTAGGTGCGACTTCTCACAGGGATGCGGCTTCTAATACAGATTTTACGGTATTTAGCAAAAAAGATTAGCGACAAACTGTTTTGATGAGTGGTAGGTTTATCATTCAAAATTTTATTTCTGATAGATTTATTATACACTATGCACAATATACAACAAAAGTTTAGCAATATAGCTTTCACTCAACCATGTCATTGCCACATCACAGCAATGCTTTGTTGATTAGATATAAATGTACATTACCTTTAATTTATGGGTAGGATCAGCACCATGAGCCAGCAGTAGCTCAACAACAGACAGATGTCCCCCTGCACATGCTAACGACAACACACTCTGATCATTATTACATGTTGTCAGTTTCACATTGGCACCTACAAAAAACACATTATATCTTATAAGCACAGACATTATATAAGGGATATATATATATAGTTTGGGACTTTTAATCCTAAGGTTTGAAACGTGGATCAAATAAAACAAGTCATTGAAAATGACACAGTCCCCGTTAAGTTCTCTTTGTGCTCGTCATATTAAAGCGGAGGGGTTGTCGCGAGTGTGTCCTTGAAACTTGAGTTCCAAGTGGCGTATACAACAGATTGTTTATTTACATCAAAACACGTGTTTCGTGTCATAGTAATATGGCCAAAATAAAAACAGCCGTTATTCAGCCATCTTTGATCTGATTATGAAGCACACTGATATGTATGATGTATGTGCCAAATACGAATGAAAATGGTACATAAATTGTGGAAATATAGTAGTAAGGCCAAAAAGTCAGATGGCTGTCAATCGGCCATCCTTGACCAGATTTTGAAACAAATTGTCATGGACATGCATCCTAACATGTATAAAGTACATGCACAATGTACATTGCATGTGCCAAATTTTAATGAAAACTGACAGAGCACGTCCAAGATACCACATAAAAAAACAAAAACAAGATGCCTGCCAGTCAACCATCTTTGATCCAATTGCGAAATAAATCGTCATGGACATGTATCCTAACATGTATAATCTATGAACGGAATCGGTCCACAGGATTCTGAAATATGACGTTGGATAGACTGACGCACGGACAGACGGACGGTCGGACGGACAGACTCAGGAACTCACGGACGGTCGGGGACATGTATCCTCACATGTATGATCTATGTACTAAATTTGAATGACAACTGACAAAGCATGTCCAAAATACAACATTTTCAAAAAACAAGATGGCTGCCAGTCGGCCATTTTGAATCGAATCGCTAAACCACTGCATGTGCATATGTCCCACATAAGGTACTAGGCACATGCAAAGAATGAACGGAATCGGTCCAAGGGATTCTGAGATATGACTCCGGACGGACGCACAGACACACGGACACACGATTATAAGTCCCCGTTTTCGGACTTCGTCCAAACGGGGACTAAAAAAAAAATCTGTGTTTGCTCACATTGTTGAGTTAAATAAAACGCAAACTATGCAAATTTCCTTGTAGTAACACAGTATTACCATTAATGCTTTGAATTAAATTAAACGGTTTCTCATACAAAAAATAAATATAGTTTTAAGTAAGGTCAAGTGATGATGGCAAATTCCAAAATTCATGGATACTATTAGCTCCCTATAAAGAAGCCGTGTTTCATACATAAAGCAGTACCATATACTGTAAAATTATAATTTCATTGTGCAAAAATTTTCTGTCCTACAGTAAACTCTTTCCTGTAAAATTATCCAAAGTATGGTAAAGTACTTTATTTTCACTTGGAATTTATTTTTGCTGAAGGATGACTCAGTGAAAATAAAATAAAGTGAATTTACTTTTTTCCTATACATGTATTTTACATTCAACTTGTCAACACCCAAAAAGTCTTTGGAAAAAAAAAATTCAAGCTAAATTACAATATTTTACAGTACTTGAAAACAGTAAATTCCTACAAATAAACTGTACTTGCCACGACTAATCAGAAACTGGACTGTACACAAGTGACCAGCTCTGGCTGCCTTCATCAATGGAGTACGTCCACCCTCAGACTTGTGCTCCTGTAAAAAATAACAATATTTAGCTTTCAGGAAAATAAAATTCTGTTAAACCAATAGATTGCAGACATTTTTCTTGAACATACTGGTAAATACTATTCTATTTAATAAAGTGACAGTTGTCACAAATCTAATGCTCAAATTAAAACTAAACATGCAATGTTTATTTCGCTTTGCATACATCAATATTATACATCTTTCACCGTATCGCCACAAGTTACAACGTGCCGTAATTTTGCGATATTTTATGGGGTATTTTCATCCTACCATATGAGAAATTGCGAACTCCAAATATGGAATGATTACGCATGTAAAAACAACATAGTTGAACTCTGGTGACCTTGCCCTTTGTTATATAATATAATTCCCTTTAACATAGTTTGTTTCAATATAAATATACATTGTCATAATTAATTTTGAATACAAAAAAGTTTTGGGATTGAACTAACAGTGGGGAATCAGTCTACCGAATGTCCTTTAAAGATGTAAATATCTTACAAAAACATTGGTGCCTTATTTGTTTAATTATTTTAAGGGACATAATTTCCAGCTTTATTCAAAGTAATTCAGATATTTTAGTATAAAAACATGCCTCAGTGCAAAAAAAAAGTGCTGCATTTAGACGTGAATAGATTCATAAAACGTGCAAGATAACAGAAAATCTTAGCTGGCTTTTGTCCAAGTATTTTGTACAGGTGTCTGTCAAAAATTAATGATTCACTGAGACAAATATGAACTGCCTCATTGTGTGACTACTGTATTATATGAAAAGTAAAAAAAAAACACCCTTTATGAATAGCTATCATGTTGCAAGCTCTGCTTTAAATAGTTAGTTGGTGTCCAGTGGAGGGAGAAGTCAACAGTACTGTTGCCTCCTGAGAACCTACATCTTCAAACACTGCAATCTTTGTTTGAAGTGAGTTTTTAAACTAGTATTATAAAAACTATCATTCTGTTCTAATAGCTGAAACATATTCCTGTGAGTTTTCATTTGTCGAATGAACTGTTTGTCAAATACAGAATACATATATTTTAGAACAATTTTCTTTTTAAAATGTGGATGAAATGTTTTGCTTTTTATGTATTTTTTATGTATTGTTTTTGATTTGATAACTTTGAACTAAACAGATTTTCTATTAGCTTCAGATCTTGATCAAAGTTTGGCACCCAGTTCATAGGAGTGCCTATATTGATTTTCTGACATCTT